GTAAACTACCCCAGAGGATGGATAACTTATATTGCTTGTTTCAATAAAAGAAGCAATAAAAAGTATGACTTGTGAGAACCAGACTACATTGAGAGATTAAAAGAAATGAAACACTGGAAACCAACAAAATAGCACTAAATGTAGTCACAAAACAGAAAACATGATTTATATCTATCTCTATAATTTAATAAATCTTTATATATGTAGAGATTAAATAGTTCAGCAGAAAGAAGGTATAATATGATTTGTAAAGTAAATATATGACTACAATGCATCTGAGTTATACAAATAAGCATTTTATAATAAAAGGAGCCTAATAGGTCTTGTCCAAATACAGAGAAAGATTTTGGTTATCTAAAAGCATTAGGATTGTTGACTAAGACTACTTAAGTAGGATCTAATGGAACTTTCTCTTGGTGTTTGATTTATCAAATTTAAGTTCTTAAAGTACTTGTTCCAGAAGATTTTACTATTTAATAACTTTTGTCTTTCATTTGTTCAGATATGATCATATTTATAGTTCTGAGGATATAAAGCATACAGATATCACTTTGGACAACCATTAAGGTTTTCTCTCTTTGGGTAGAACTAATTTGGTCATTCCCAAATTGTTACGCCTCATGCCAAACAGGCTCTTCTATATAAAATAAAATAACTTTTATTTGTTTTGTTTCCATGTCTTTTATAAAGGACAACTGAAGTAATGGTTACATTGCAAGAATAATGGCAAAATCATTATTTTAAAATTGACCACATTTTAAAGTTTTATAATAACAAAAAGATAAAATTGCAAGCCATATATTACTATCCTTGTAAAAGTTGTAAGAAACCAATAATGGGTAATTCCACATTTGCTAGCTAAGGGTATGGGATAAACAAACATTTATCAAAATTAAAATTAGGCCCATATGCATATCAACTCTTTATCATAAGTATCATTAGAAACTATAAAGCCCCAAATGAACTCTTGAGGGTAAGGCTCTTAAAGAATAACATTTTAAGTGCATAGCTATTACAAACTCACTTGATATTCATTTTAATTGCAATGACTATAATGAATATACTTTGTATTCAAACAGATGTCACAAGCACTACTACAGAAGTTCCAATATAATTCAGTCTTAGTTAAGAATGAGTAAATGGATATTTAAAATTGAATGCTACCATGAAGGAGGAGAAGAAAAAAAAAACAATTACAGTAAACATTAGCTCCCCAACAAAACAAATGAAAGATTTTTATCAAATTGTGTTCTTTCTTATTTTTACATATACAGAATACAATAATACACAGATCTTCCTATCACAAACACTCCTTTTCCTTGAATCAGCTGGTCTACAGATTAGTTAGCTTGGAAAATAAAAATTGGAAGTGTAAACGATGACTTAGCATAGGCTGAAATTCCCTTTACAATATTTAGAGACTAATACATCGAAAGAATTAAAAATATTATGATGGCAGTTTAATTTAGCTGATGGAGATAATTATGTATGCTATTTTATTTTGATGGGTCAGACAAACCCTCATATTCCCTTTAATCTTCTCCCACATGAAGGACTAACACCTTAAATTCCAACACTAGAGACCTTCATGCTATAAACTGAAGACAGTGTTTCTTCATGTATGCTTCACAGAATCACTCATGGATGTGTGTTAAAAGCAAATATTTTTGAGCCTTAGTGAAGTCCTATCAAAGGCTGAGAGTAAGGCCATGGAACAAGAATTTTGATGGCAACCTCAAAATTCTGATGCACACTCTAGCTTAAAAACAACTGCCTCAGGTTGGATGAAGTAATATTTAAAACTATATATTATTCATTTCATTCAAATCAGCAAACATTTATTAAGTGTAGCTCCTATATGAAAGATATGATACATAAAGGATGTCCAAAAAAGCAACAAGCATACTATAAACTTATTCTCAAAATACAGTTATTAACTACAACAAGAATCTACAAATGTCTAGAAACACAATGTCGGACCGTCTGGAATCACAAAGAAAATAGTTTATTCATGGTGCAGATTAAGATTTCACTCAATTTGAATTTAGCAGTCCTTCCCCTGCAAGGAGTTATCTGGAGGTTGAGGAGAATATATGTTTATCATTATTAGAAAATGTAACTAACATAGTATTCAAAAACCAGTTTAATTCTCCTGGTGCCTGAACTATACATTGAACTTATGTGAAAGCCATAGTGTATTTTTGAATCACCAGAGCAAAATTCAAAGAGCGAAAGTTGACTTTGGAGTTTGATAAAAGAAAGAATGAAAGTAAAGAAAATAAAGCTGAAGGAATCGAGGATTTTTTCCTGGTCAACAATTTGCCCCAACCCCCACTAATTAGCTGGAGACTAATTAGCTGAAATCGGTGAGAAGAGCATCCGTAAGGCACATTCACTCTTGAAGCAGGGAACACAATGGATGAGATTCATGAATGGCTCCTATCGCCCTTGATTTTCTACAGTCCTTGTTTGACTTTTCCCAGCGCTGGAAACAGAATTGGGTGCGGGAGGGGAAGCTATGCGAAGTGAAGGGGAATAGAAAATGATATTGGGCCGTTGACCTGTGAGGGCCGTTGCCCACAGCAGTGGTTCTCAGAGGATGGGCTCTAAGCCAGCCACGTCAGCATCACCTGGGAACTCACTGGAATGCTCTGCTCAAGCTGCCATAACAAAACACCGCAGGCTCCATAGACAGGGTGGCTTAAATGACAAGACATTATTTTCTAGTGGTGCTGAAGGCTGGAGCCCAGGATCAAGGTGCTGGCTGGTTCTTTCCCCAGGGAGAAGTCTCTCTCCCAGCTTGCTGGTGACTGCTACCTTCTTGCTGAGCCCGCACGTGGCAGAGAGAAAGAGAGCAGAGCTTTTTCTCTCTTTTCTTCTCCTTATAAGGCCTTGAATCCTTTTGGATTAGGACTCCAGCATTATGACCTCATTAACCCTAGATTACTTCCTAAGAGCTCAATCTCCAAATATAGTCACATTGGCTGGGTGTTAGGGGTTCCACATAGGAAGTTTGGGGGAACACAGTTCATCCGCAGCACTCATCACAAATGTAAATTCTCAAGCACCAGAGCAGACCTATGGAGTCAGAAATTCAGGGAATGGGGTCCATGCTTTGTGTTTATTAACTTCTCCAGGGTATTCTAGTGCACATTAAGGTCTGAGAAGCACTGGCCTTCAGGACAAAGTCCCACCCCTGCAGCACGACCTTTCCTTTCCTCCGCAGTCTACTGCCACTCCGCCTTCCCTGGCTTATTTCTTACAGGATACTCTGCCTGTAATCTTAGCACGCACCTTTGCACACAGAAAGCACTCAAATCTTCACACAGTATTGTGAACAATTTTGCTTATAACCCTTCTCTGTAAGCTACTCCCCACAACACTGGCTCCAGTTCAATATTGAATTTGGGCATCAAACAGCCCATTGGTCTCAGACATAGCACAATATCATTTCTATAGCTGCTTAATATTACATAAAAAATTAATATACTATTTGCTTCTTATTATGTACTTAAATGTATTGGGCCCTATAAATGCTCAGTGTATTACCTCATTTAATTCTCACAATCACCCTGAAAGAGGTATTATGATTTCTGCTTGAGAGAAGAAACACTGGAAATTGATGCTCAATATCAAGAGATTTATTATACAACACTGTGACTATAGTTAATAGCAATGTGTTGTATTCTTGAAAATTGCTAAGAGAGTAGATTTTGTGTTCACAACACAAATAATTATGAGATAATGCATATGACAATTAGCTTGATTCAGCCACTGTACAAGGTATACATGTTTTTAAAAACATATTATACACTATATATATATATATATATAATTTTTATTTGTCAAGATAAATTTTAAAACGAGAAGCGGCAAGGCTGAAAATTATAAACTCTGTTTCCTTGACTTAAAGCACATGGTTATTTCCACTTTGTTACACCATAGGCCCAGGGGTGTGGTTTTATGTCAACATCTTGAATTTACTGCGAAGACCCCAAGAGTATGTGGGCCTTTCCTAAGGGAAAGTTATTTCTAGTATATCCTTTGGAATCTCTCTGTTGTCTACAACCCCTAACACAGACACTTGTGCACACACACTAAAGCATTGCTGAAAGTCGGCCATCATGAAAAAATATCCAGGCTGAGACAGATACTCTTAAATGACTACAGACAACAAAGCGCTCTACAATTCTATCCCTATTCCGTACCCTATTTACCTGCAGGCGGCCATAAGCATGCTTTTTTTTATGCTGTCATTTTTAATTTTAATAAAATAGATAATGTCATATTACATAGAGAGCAAGTCCATCCATTCATTGTTGATAAAATTTTAGAAATATTTTCTATAAAAAGTTTAGTATTTGTGAATGAATCCATTATAACATGATTTCTGTAAGTACAGCATTCCTATCCTCTTCCCCATTATTATTGAGAAATTTTAAAAATACAGAAAAGTACAAAAAATAAGGCAAGATATCCATATACCACAATCCAGAATTAACTAGTATCTTTATATTTACTTGCAGTCTTTTAAAAGAGAAATGGATGTTTACATAAAAAGCTGAAGTCCCCTTTAACCTATGCCCACCCCACACTGAATGCTTTTATCTTTCATTAAAGACACCTGAAGAACTCCAAGAGACTTACCTGAAAGTTCACAAGGAGCTCTGATGAAACCTTTTCCCCAAAGCCATTACTGATAATGAAGCACCAGAAACACATGCGCGCACACACGCACACACACACGCCTACACACACGCACATAAAATGGGGAAAACAATCTGTAAGTTTAAAACAATGGCATTCTTTTTTCCAAAATTATGCTTGCTTAGCTTCGTTCCCCAGAATGCAAGCCAAGTGATGCTACTTTCCTTGTTCACAGCTTCCTACACACAGAAGACTGGACTATAGATATAATAACCAGACCTGTTGGATTGTTTAGGTAATTCCAAGCACCAGCTGAGATAGTAATTAAGAGTAACATTCCATTCTCAGCCTACCTGGGGTGTTCAGCAACCTCGACATCTTGCAGAAATAGGAGACGTACTGCTCGCAGTACTCGGCGCTGCTGGTGATGGCGCTTATCTGGTCCATGGAGGCGCTGTACACGAGCTGCGTCACCGAGTATTTCTCTGGGTTGTAGCCGACCACCGTCGTCTGCATCTGCAGGTCATGAGACACTATAGTCCACACTTTGTCCTCTGTGGGGAGAAAAGCAACCAGAACACTGGTTCATTAGTATGCAAGTGCTTCTCCAAATGTCAGGACATAACTGAGCTACAACTTTAACTGGTACTTTCACTGCACTGGGGGTTAGAACAGGTAAGGATAGCAATCCTCAAAGTAAGCCCTGCTCTTTTTCCATATCTAACTTTTGCTGATAAGGACAAAGTAGAAAAGTAATATTGTTTTATGAAAAACAAATGCAAGATACCTCCTGAAAACAAAACTAAAAACAGCTTTTGTATCTGGCCGGCGCTCTAATGTCCGCAGCAATGAATGTGAGGCTCATTATGTTCCGACTCCTTCCTGACTTTGTAACCTGCTATTCCTGTGATAGAACAGTATTTGCTTTTTCCTAAATGAACTGTGCTCTCTCAAGCCGCTGGGTCTTCCTACATGCTGTTTGCTGTAATCCGGATATTCATCCTCATCTTGTCAACAAATGTTCTTTCCACCCTGACCTTTCAGGCAAAATTAGACATTGCATTTTCTGTTATTGAAATGCTCTATATGTGTGGGATAAAGCAAATGAGTAATTATCTTGGTGTTCATGATTCTGAAAATTTCAGTGTGACAAAAGAAACAGCAGATGTAAACGAGATGAGGTTAAATAAAAGCTTTATACACCTTTAGATTTTATCTAGAAGCACCACTAAGAACCTAACGGAATGTTGTCTTTTTGAAAATGTAGACATATGTCCTGACTCTGGACACTGAAAAAGCTCTAAAAGAAGGACCAATTTCAAGCACCAGACTGTTAGCATTAAATACCATTTTCCATGCAGTAAGAGTAAACTAGGATCCCTGAAGAATTGATGGATTCCAGAGCCAGAAATGTACAATGCACGATCAGCTAGGAACATATCATCACACCAGGGGAAAAAAAAGCTACTGGAGACAGGGCAGTTCAAAACCCCCCAGAGACAATTTTCACATCAATAAGAATTCCCTACAATGTATTAAAACATATCAAGTATATTTAAATGCATGAATTCATTAAAATTATTTTAAAAAGTTTAATTTTGGAACATGCTAGGTAACCAACTCATTATTTACAATATTGGTAAGTAAAGGAAAATAATGAAGCTTTCGGCTTGTCTTTTCTATATGTACTATAATGTAACTAAATATTCTCTTTATGGAAACATTTCCATTCATAAAAAAAGACTAAATGATCAAGTATCATCGCTTCATCACTTCTCACAAATTAGTAGGATCTAAGCAATGACTATCAAGGACTGCTAATATAACCAAAAGTGAAGGCAGGGAAAATATACCTCTGGGTGGAAACATACTATCAATATTACATGTAAAGTAACACTGACAAAAATCAAGTGTGAATTTGACCAAGCTTATAGATCTGTAGGGGACTGACATATATTTTCCTAGTTTAAGAATTAGATTTAGTAATGTACGTGCTCAGCCCAGAGCATTTAAAAGTATTATGTTCCGGACAAGGACCCTGTTGCCTTGAGGCATAATAAAAACAAGGTGTTGCCTAGAGGCATAACAAAGGACCTGAGTTGCAAGTAAGCAAGAGCTCCCCCACCCCATGGCATTGGGGGTCTTGGGACCATGCGATAAACACATTGTTCTTGTGATTGCTGCGTACACCCCCATAAGATGGCTGGTTAGTCAATGATGGGTAAGACTCCTCAAGGGAGGGGCAACCTAAGCCAGGCACAGCCACCGGGGTTCAGCCGAAGATCTTAGGGTAACACCCTAAGAGAAGCTGGGGATGAGAAATGCCCCCTGTGACTTGCCTTGTCCATCCTTGCTAATCTTGGTCTGTGATCTATGCCTGGTGCCTAGAGGAACCACCTGTAAATTCTGAGCCAGAGGATATCTGCTTTCCTAAGACTATGCATTCCAGAATTTATGGCCATTGCTGAAATGCCTGGGCAGTTAAGTATAAGGAACTAACTTTAATTTTTTAGAGTATAAAAATAAAACTGACCCAGTGTATTATTACTTGAGTCAACTATTTGTACGTGTGCCCGTGTTTTTCTTTGTACTCTGTATTTGTGTTTTGTGTTCTGTGTTCATCCTCCATCCTGTAAATAGGCCATGACATAGATCTAATCGCTGATTTACAGAAAACATAGGGGTGAGAGGAACATGTTAAATGGCACTAAGTGGAAACACTCCATGAAATCCATGCTGTGGGAACTTCTATAGTAATCTAGTTTAACCAACTGATAAATTGCAAAGAAAGCGGGAGGAGGAGATGAGAGAGAGGAAGAGAAGGAGAGAGAGAGAACTGTATATTTCCTGAATTTCCTTCTCATGCAACCTTCCTTATTTCAGTAAAGGGCAACTCCATTCATTCAGTTGCTCAGGACAAAACCCCTGGAGTCACCATTAACTCATCTCTTTCTCCTACACTCAACATCCGCCCTGCCAGTGCGTCTTGTCTGCTCCACCTTCAGTCCAATTTCAGAGGCTGAGCCTCCCTCCCCGACAGCCCTCCCTGCCACAGGATTCTGGTCCGAGCCACTCTTGCCTCTCCCTGCTTTCCCACCATGATGCCCCTGCATCCTCCTGTCTGCTCTCCACATGCAGCCAGGTGAGCCTTTCGTATGTGCCAGATTCTGATGTTCTGCTCTAAGCCCTCATGTAACAACAGGTCTTGTTCAAAGTCAAATCCAAGTCCTTAAAACAGCAGAAGTCCCTTGGGGATCTGCCACCTCCTTGCCTCTGTCCCCATGCACCCCACCACTCCTTCCTTGCCCATTTGGCTCCGGCCACATTGCATTGCTCTCTTACTTGGAGCCTCTGCACCTCCTGCTTCCTCTGTCTAAAGCCATCTTCCCTCAGACACCCCCAGAGCCCTCTCCTCCTCCCCCTCCCCCTCCAGATCTTTGCTCCGCTGCCAATGCCAGCTTCCCCTTTGCTGTTTCCCACCCCGGCAACTGTTCTCTACCTCTCTCTCCTGCATTATTCTTCTCCCTAGCATTCATCTTCCCTGGCTTGTGCATATTTTCATTATTTTTTATACCTGTCTCCCAACATAGAAAGGTAAGAAGGCAGGAACTCCACCAAAATCAGCACACAGTAGGCCTTCAAAAAAATATTAGTTGAGTAGCAAAAGAAATCAACAGAAAATAAATATTACAAAGCTTCTCAATTTAGGAGCTGCTTAAAAATCATCTGTGTTCCAGTTCTGGCGCTGCCATGACTAGGCTGAGAGACACTGGTGAAGTCACTCATTCCTCTTGGCTGTAATTTTCCTTTGCCTGTAACAACTTGCCTCCATACCAGAGCACTTCCCAGTTTGCTCTTCTTGAATCAATTAAAACAAGTTCAGTTATGGTGCCTCCTATAGTAATATATTTTCCATAGGATAATTATTTTTTTCAGTTTGAGCTTTAGCCTGTGTGGAACTGCCTTCCTTTAGTTGTTCTGATACAGCAAAAAATGATGTATTTTAGTAATTCTGTCACTTTCTGACATGATTCTAACGACAAACTGAGTTTTTCATTTATATCCAGACTTGCAGATTTGCCTTCACCTAATTAAAAATCCATTAATTAAAAGTAGGTTAGCTTTCTCTTTTCTGTTAAAATCAGCCTCTGGCATAGAACTCTCAAATGTCTGACAGTATTTCCTTTTATTTATTTATTTTTTTTAAACAAACACCTATGAAAGGCCTTATCCTGTGGCAGGACTCCAGAACTCTCTTTAACTCAGCATGGAGTAGCATTCTAACCAGATCTCTCTTTAAAGGCTCATAAACCTCTCTTCTATATATATAAAGTAATGATCATAAAGGCAAGAATTAATAAGCAAGTAACAAAATGGTCACCCATGTTTGGTCTCTGTCCTATATGACTTCAGTAACTTTAAAAACATTAATCAATTTGTTAAGATTGATTGGTCTCTAACATTTTGGTCCTAGGGACTTCTGGGTCCTAAACTCTACTTCCACACCTCCCACCATACACATTTCAGGATCAAAACCCTGCGCAAACCCCTCTGCTTTAGGGTTCACTCGCCCATTGAACAAATACTGCTCACCTAATATAAGAAAGAGATTTAGGGAAACCACAGTGCAATATAGATTTGTAAACTTTGGAAGCTTACATTCTTGCATTTTGAGAAGGAGGGAACCAGATAGTAAGCAAAACAATTAAAATTAAACATATGTATAGTTTACAAGTGATAATGGCTAGGAGAAAACTAAATCAAGGAAGGGAAGGACAAGTAGTGTGTATGGGGATTGCATTTTTTAATCCAAAGGAAACCAGAAAAGGCTTCATTGAAAAAGTGACATTTGAACAAATAAGGTAGTTAGTTACCCAGCAAGCCACATGAATGTCTGGAGAAAATCTTCCAGATAGAGGAAATGCAAATACAAATATTCTAATTCTGGAATATTCCTGGCATTGTTCAGGTATGCAAAGAGGCTCATGAGTGAGAAACAGGAGAATGGGGGGAGTTGAGTCAGACACCAAAATGTTGATGCATTTTGCTAATTGTTTTGTACCTCTTGTATATTACACATTGCAAGAGCTCCTTAGGAGCCAGCCATTAAATCTTAAGTGACAAAAGGCTATTAACAACTTTGCAGGTATCCAACGTCTAAAAGAAAGAAGGTGGTTACACTGCATAAACTTTCCTTTGCTGGTATCATTAAGTGGAAAAATTAAGAACTTTATTCCCATATTCACAGTATGTTCATATAATGTGTATTATTGGATATGTGTGTAATGCAAATAGAAACTACTACATGTGACAAACTCTGAATTTCTAAGTTCCATTTTTATGAAGAAGCAATTGATAAACTACTGCATCTCAAATACTGTTTTTAGATGACTGCTTTATGAGAATGCCCTTCAGGATTACTGGGAACTTAGCATCTGACTCATCATGCAATTATATCTTTAAAAATTGCCACACTATATATTGTTATAAATGCAACTGTTTTAATGACATGTTTCAAACACCAAGGCACGTATGGAACATACTCTGGAGACAT